AATATAATATTAAAAAAAATTAAAAAACGTACTTATTTCATTATAATATTATTGCTAAGGCACAAATATTATCTAGTTTTAAGGAGTATTTTACTTGAAATACCTAAATAAATTTAACTTTATTCTTAAAATTTTCAAGTAAGCAAAATATTTACATACAAGCCTCTTACATTTTCACCCCTCTCCAAATAATATTTACTATAGAAAATAAAATAAGCAATCACACGGCTTCTTGTGAAAATAATAAAAGTTTAAAGGCTAAAAAGGAGATTTTACAAGTGAAGGAGACCAATGGCATTGCGCAGAAGTTAGGGGATGAAAAATGAGGGTTTAAACGCTTCTTTAAGATATATATATATAAAACCCAGATCACCTGTCTTCCTCGTCTCTTTTCTCCACAAAGTGAGCTGAGCCTGGCTCCGTCGTCGTTTGAGGTGATCGTCGTCTATATTCTCTCTTCCCCTGCAACTTAGCTGTCGACTGGTGTTACTCTGTCGTCTCCATCTTCAATTTGTAAGCAGTTTTCTCTTAACCAGCGTAAATCAATCAAGAACAAGAGAGTTAACATTTCATGTTGGAATTGAATTACATAGATTTCTCATCAATTGAGACTTACCTTCTAAAGCCCTAACTTTTTCTCTTCCTCCTTCCTGAACCCAAAATCCATAGAGAGAGGAACTCTCATTCTTCACTCTCAAACATGTTCTTCCACACATAGTATTCGAGCGCAACATGCACCTGCATCCGCGCCACATCGGCCGCAACCACCGTGAGAACCTTGTTTCCAAGCTCATGAAAGATGTCAAGGGCACTTGCAGGTTTTTGTCTTTTTATTTTTATTTTTATTTTATTTTATTTTATTTTAGTTCTCAATTTCATTTGTTTGATTATTTGAGAGAACAATGCTAGTGAATATGCTTAAAATTCTCTGCATCTCACCGTCAATCCTTTCATTGTGACAACCAATGTTTATGGTGTAAATTGCTGAATTAATGTATATTCTCTATTCATAATGTATGTCACTGTACATACATATACAAAAGAACTATATCAGAATCATAACTTAACTAACCTTGTGCCTAGAGTCTAGAAGAGTTATAACTGTATACAAATATACTCCTGATTCTGAGGGATTTCTACCAGAAACTGTTTATACCAGATGCTGTTTACACCCCCCTCAAGCTGGTGCATGAAGGTCATGAATGCCCAGCTTGTCCCGCATCAAATAAAAACTGTCCTTGCCCAATGCCTTTGTGAAAATATCAGCTGGTTGACGAGAGGAAAAGATGGGTAATGGGCAGACAATACCAGCTTGAAATTTCTTACGCACCAAATGACAATCAATTTCCAAATGTTTTGTCCTTTCATGAAAGACAGGATTGGCAACAACGTGGCAAGCTGCCTGATTATCACAGTAAAGAGGTGTGGAGCGAGATTGGTGAATACCAAAACTGTGTAATAAGTTGCGAAGCCAAATGACCTCTTTAGTGGTAGAAGTCATATGAGTGCCGTGGGTCATCATGTATTGAGAAAACTTGTCATCTCTATGATGATCCACTATTGCTTTGAAATTTTCTATGTATCGAACAGGAAAAGGACCAAAAAAGTAATTGTCGGAGATCGAGGTCGAGGATTCGTAATTTGGGAAAAGATGGGCGTTCTTTGGTGCTAACTACAAAACCATGGAATCTATTTGACCTTAAAACCAGCACTCTTCGATTTGCTATCTTGTTGTCTCCAAAGTTTAGAACCTCTAGCAAGCTACAATTCATCAAAGATCTTGGCAACAAGCCTCCCATTTTATTTCCATATAAGTTGAGACTTTGCAATCCATAACCCTCTGGAAAGCTAAATGGTATATCTCCATCAAAGTTATTGGCATGCAAACTCAACACGGAAAGACTTTTGCTCATCAACATTTGGAGATAGTTTGGAATCTTCCCACTTAAATTGTTAACAGAAAGTTCAAGAACTTGAAGATCATTTGAATGTCTTAGGAAATCCAAATGTTTTAGTTTGGGAAATGTGAAGTCAGCATCAACATTGATTCTCAAAGACAGATTGTCGTTTGAAAGAATGACGGATTCAAGACTTTGAAGCTTTGAGAACACATCAAACTCTACAAAAACCACTCAAATTATTGTGTGCCAAATCCACGATTGTCAATGATTTTTGATGGAATTGATTTATTTGATCTTGAAGAAAGTTGCAATTGGGAACCAAGACCTATAACGAAGGTAGACTGAAAACTCAAGGTGGCATTGATCCATCAAGTGAGTTATGAGATAGGTCTAGGTGGGATAGTATTGAAAACGCACACCCTTGAAAAGAAATGGGACCAAAAAGCTGATTATTTGAAAGATCAAGAAGGTTAAGTTGCGTGACGGTTGTAAGTGAGGATGGGATATGACTAAAAAATTGTTATGTCGGAAGTTTACAAGAAAAAGCTTAGACAACTGCCCTATTGAAGCTGGAATGGAACACTTCAAGTTGTAGCTAAAGAGAACTAAAGAACGTAATGACTTTAGATCTCCTATTGACTTGGGAAATTCCCTCCCCCCACAATCCTTGGGGTTTAATTTATTTCATATGGCAGGAAAAAAAGGGAAGAGTTTTAAAAAATGAGTAAAGTTACAATTCTGCACCTAGTTCCAGTTAGTCTCTTAGCTACTTAGTTGAGTTAACATTAATGCTTTGTCATTAATTTTCTCTAAACCTAAAAATGCATGGGTGAAAAGCCTCGTGTATAGCCCCATAAGGGGAATTTTGGATTAATGGAGTAAGGTTACCATTCTCTTAGATAAGTGTTTTAGGACTCATCCACTAGTCCAGTTAAATAACCAAACAAGAAAGGAAAGTTATAGAATACACAAATCAAAACCAACTTGAAAAAGAGTGATGATGTGAATATTGTACTAAGCACACAGAAAGAAGTCTACCGGGCAGATCATGCTAGAGAACAGGTTCAAATGCAAAATATTAGCTATTTTTTTTTTTTTTTACTGTAAGAAACATGATTAGTAAATTAATATATGTTCGAGAACCGATTGAGAAGTTAACCTGATAATCATGTGCCACATTTCACCTTACTTCTCACATGGAGGTGTGAGAAGTGTGGCTACTTGGACCACATGGGGGAGTGCAATGCAAAATATTAGTTTAAATATAAAACAACATTCAAAGAATGCAAAAGCTGCAATTGGCAATTAGGTCTTTAAAATTGAAGAAACTACGAGGTCCATGAAAAGTGAACAAGTTAAGTTTAACAAATTAGAGGAAGAAACTCAAATAGATAAATAGCGAGAACAAAGAGTACAAAATCATTGAACTAGACAAGTGAGGAAGCTGTAGGTTCATTGACTTCCTTGCACCAAATGTCATAAATCTGACACCCAATCCCCTCAGCAGCCCTCCTCCATCCGTGGATTGCAGTAAAAATTATTCGAATTAAGTGATTGAAATCTAAACCGTGTCATAAAGCAGTCAGTAGTACTGGAAACCGTATTATTTGTCCATCTATGATATACTCCCACCAACTTTGAAAATATCCATTTTCTTCCAAAAGTATCAATTCCCTAAACACCAAAAAATTGAAGGCAAAGCAAGAATTCAAAAACCAATAACCAAGTTTGACAAAATCCTTATCTCTACAAACATGAATCAAAGAACCTAAGGGTAGCAGCAAAGAGAGCAAAGGCTCAGACTTGAAACAGAGGACAGAGGGCTCCATAATTTTTCTTCAAACAAAGTAATTGCATTTTCCATACATAATTAAACAACACCCAATTGTCAAGAAATAAAACCCATAAATAAAAATATCAAAAGAAAATTCCTTACTATCAGTTGCCGGGGAGACAGTCTGTGGCGTTCAACGAGCTGCACTCGTCCTAGAATTGAACCCTATACAAGGAGAAGAACGCAACTCTCTAATCGGTACCGCGCGTCCTCGTCTGAAAGTGCCTTGTCCAGCTTAGCAAATGGAAGTTCTGAGGGCGTAGCAAGTAACTTTCTAATTCTTATTTGCAACAAAAGAGACACTCAGGCAGGTACAATAAAGAAAAATTAGCTTATTTCACTACCTGCTCTTCCTCGTCTATTGCTCCACTCAACTCTGCCCCATGTAGCATCAGCTTTAATTCATCTTCACTAACATAAGGTTCACTAATTTAAAGAGAAAACATGCAAAACATTACTAAAGCAGTCAATACTAACTTACACTAACAAACAACTGGAAACAAGAAATGCAACAGACAAAATGGAGGATCTGATTTCCTTATTCCCATTGATAAATGAGTGACAACTCTTCCCACTAGATGTAGTATCAAGGAGACCCATGCCACTGGCCTGACCTAATGACACAGCAAATGGCATTAGCCAAATAATTTTAGTTTGCTAGCAGTCATCAGCTAAGTAGAAAAGAGTTAAATAGCAACATAGACCATGGAGTTTTAAACAGAAAGTTAAAGTTAGTTGCACGATCAAGAAGAAAATGGAAACTTAAATGGAAAACTTACCACAAATCTAGCCACCCCTGTGGGATTGTCAACAGCTATACTTTTTGGAGTGATCTAAGTAAGAAGCAAAATAGCAACCTATGATCATTCAGAAAAAGTTCAATGCTTATGATTTCTTTCTATCTTTTATCTTCGCTTTTCTTTTTTCTTTTTCTTTTTTTTTTTTGAAAAAGGCAAGCTTTTCCATTGCATGAAAACAAAATATCTACAATAATCACCTAGGCATATCTGGGTTTAACATATCACCTAATACTCAAAATTGCAATGGCAAAAAGTAAGAAATTCATTTTTTTTCTTCTTTATTTAACAAAGGTGCTATGCCTTTCAATGTGCACAGATACATATAGACCGGAAACAAATTCATTTAGGAGAAAAGGAAACAAAAAGTATAAGAAGATCCAAGATCATTAGTCGTTGCTCTGTAGGATAGCTTTAGATTAATAATTTCATAAGTGAGTTGAAGAAAAAACAGAGAAAGGGAAAAAAAAAAAAAAAACAATGGTAAAAATGGAAAACCCCCCTTGAAGGAAATAAGCTAAGCCTGTCATGTACAATATACAAGACATTGTTTTGATTTACTAGTAAAATATCAACTCCTTTACCAATAATATAAAGAGAGAAATATATGCAAATTAATCTACTATATAAAGAATGATTGGTGCCCAAAGGTTTGGATACCCACAATATCAAAAAATAAAATAAAACAAACAAAATAAAGAATGACCAGCATGCAAGAGTTGAAATGCAAGTATCTAGGTCATAGAAAGTCCTAGAGCCACCTAAAATACTAAATCTGGAACTCAAAGACCCTATGGTCACAAAAGATCCAGCTCATTTACCATTACCACCTTCACTTTGTCATAGAGGTAGAGGGAAAAAGGAAAAAGAATGACAAATAACCACAC